CCCCCCCCCCCAAAAAAGCGAACTAAAAACCAAAAAATTCAATAAATAACCTATTATATAACCTACGCAGGGATCGAACCTATAATCTCGCTCCCCACCGCAGGTGCGAAGCCCTTTTTTCACTTGGTTAGCCCTTATTTCTAAAAATAAAAAAAGGTTTAATTCAGAATTTATTAATCATCTAATTAGTTGATTACAAATCTCACTATAAACACAAACATATTTCACTATAAACACTTCACTCTTATATACTCCGGAGCTAACTAGTAGAATAAGACAGAGCTGAACACCAAAAAAACGAAGAAAAAAGAAAAGAAGATAAAAAAAAAAAGTAAATGACCTACGCAGGGCTACAATATCATATTAGTCTTCGCACATTATATTGTTGATGTGCGAGGAGGTACTTACATCGAACCTGCAATCTCTTGATTCGTAGTCAAGCGCCTTGCCATTGGGCCAGCAGGCCTGTTTATGTTGTTGGTTATTACACCAAGGTTCCCTATATTGGTGTCTGTATGTGTGTGTGTGGGAAAGAGTGGTGAATCACACGTGACGGGTTAAGATCGGGAGTAGGATTGGGTGGGGTTTATGTGAAGAGATTTCTTTATTTTGTTACTGCAGGGAAAAGGGGAGATAAGGGAATGGGTTTGATTTGATTTGTTGGTGGGGTGGAGGGGTCGGAGGAGTGAGGGGAAGACCGCGGGAGGTAGAGTAGAGTAGGTGGAGAAGTAAGGAAATTTATTTAAGGGGGATAGATTTTAAACTTATTCGTTATTATATTATCTCCTTTAATATTCGAGGGGAGAACTACGTAGGTATAGAAAGTAGTAACGACTAGTTCTACCCTCTAGGAAATCGAGGCTAGATATATACGAAAATATCTAACACCCGCCACGGGCTGTCCCGGGGTACAAAACTATCCCTAGCGCGTATATTTTCGTATACTAAAAGTAGACGCAAAACCTTAAATATCATACTAAAGACGTAGTTCTAATAGAGATATATACTTACGAATATTATAATATAAAATCTACTTAACGTGCATGTATAGCGAACCGGCCAAACAAGCGAACCGGCCAAAATTTTCTACACTCGCGATTGAAATTGTAAGAACTCTACCACAACGCCTCTAATTAAAAAACACTATTCAGAAATTTCTTCCTCAGATACTTCCTCTATAATATTACAGGTGCGCGTATTATGACCAGTCTCTCCGCAGTTGCCACAACGCCGTGCACGTGATTCTTCCCTCGGCTTCCGACCACTACTTCTCTTTATTTCCTGCATTACCTGCTCACCAACGTCTCTATCATCCTGTAGGTCCTGCGCTTCCTGTTTACTAAGTGATCCTCCTTGCTGTAGGCGTGTTTTTTTTAGCTCTACGGCGCTTACTTAGTACTTCATTTGCTTGTCGAAGTCTCTGGTTCTCAGCTTTCAATAGTACTATCTGGTGCATTACTTTTGATGCACCCTTCGTAAACTGGTCAATGGCCTCGTAAATAGGGGTTGGAGAGCTACTTTGGTGGCGTAAAATTCGATCTTTAATAAATGCAGTCTGTGATAAGGCTTCAGTAGGGTTCTTTGGTGTCTGGGAAACCCAAGGCTGAGCGGAATACGGTGGGGAGTTTGGAGGCGTTGGCGTCTTTAGCTTAAGATCAAGTGTAGAAATTACACTTTCTGGGTCAAATGGAAGAAGCCCAGCCCCTCGGAACCCTCCTCGGATATTGCTTTCTGTCATTGCAATATTAAATGCGGTGTGGAAGGCAGGAAAGAAATCATCCTTAGTAATATGGATGATCTGAGCCCGCATCATATCTTCAATTTGCTGACCATATGCCCTTTTCAAAGGGCTAAAACAGCCAACGTCGAGTGACTGGAGTATATGAGAAGAATGAGCAGGCATACAAAGAGTGATAATGTTGTTTTCCTTGCAATATTCCTCAAATTCGTCGGAGTGGTGGCTTTCATGGCCGTCGAGGACTAATAGACGATAACCACCAATAGATTGGGACTTTGTATGCTTCTCAAAATGTCGAATCCAATCCATGCCTTTCTCATTTGTTGTCCAACCATTTTCAGTAATAGCAATCACCCAGTTAGGTGGAAATCCACTGTTTTGGTACCAAGAAGCGAGGTGATTTTTTGCGGCAACAATCACAAACGGTGGAACACACCAGCCTTGGGCATTAACCCCCTGGATTACTGTAACCCATTCCCGATTACCAGGCTGTACTCTTTTTGCTTTTACACGTCCTTCTGAGCTTGTAATAACCATTGCAGTTGAGATAACGCCCATCATAAACCCAGTCTCGTCAAAGTTGTAGATATCTGCATCGTAGATTCCGTACTTCGCTATTGTGTTTCGTACAAGCTCAAACCAGCCACGAATGACTTCTGGATCTTCGCACTTAGCTCTCTGATAGTCGTATTTTCGTTGGAAGCGTGTCTGGAGTTCTGGGCGGCGCTTAACAAAGTTATAAGCCCAACGCGTCCCGACGCGTGGCGCGTCGCGTGCTTCAAGAAGTCGATTTGCTATATCTTCAACTACAGATATCCGCGGAGGAAATCCTTTTGTAGCTAGGTCGAGGATATGTTGAACAAGTACTGATTCCTCTAGCTCGGTCATTTTCCGTGAATTGGCTAAAATATCGCGTCGTGAAGGTATACCAAGAAAACGTCGACCTAGCTTCCGGTGGTCTACAGAATGGGTCCTGGCAGCAGCTCGAGCACGTAAATTTGGGTCTTTTTGCATAGCTTGGATAGCTAAGACTAACCGGCTTTCGTCATTTTTCAGAGGCATCCTTCGATGTAGAGAAATTTAATATTTCGTGGAGGTGTGGTGGGGTCGCCGGGTTTTGGCCGGTTCGCTATACATGCACGTTAATTCTTTTACTAATCTCCTATTGTATATATAACTATCTAGCTATATAATAAGCGAGGTCTAAATATCCTACCTAACTCTAACCTAATTATATAAATAATAAAAGACGTCTTCTAAGATATCCCTCTAAATAAAGAAAATATCCCTTTAAATAAAGAAATCCTACTATACTCTAATCTTCTTAATACTAAGAAGTCTCTTTAATAACCTTTATAAGTACTCTCCGAAGTTTTTCCCTTATTTATATTTACTATACGGAATCCTTGTCTAATAATAAACTCCCTCTACTTTCGTATATAATATAAAGAATATACGTATAAAGAACTCTTACTACTCTTATACCTTCTTTAATAAATCTATATATAAAGAACTACCTCCGCTTCTATATATCTTTTAATAAATACCTATATAAAGAACTACCTCTATATCTAGCTATAACCCGAATACCTCCTCTATCCTTTATAATACGTTAAGGGCTACTAGGATAAGTAGTAGTTATTATATTATAAATACTATTAAAGGCTACTAAAATAAGAAGTAGTAGTTATAAAAACCTAGCGAGTTTTTAGAAAAGTAAAGTATAGTATTAAGACTAAGTAGTAAAAATTTAAATATATATATAGAGTTACTTAATTGTAACGAATACTCAAACTGGCTAACTAAACTTGGCTGGGTGTTCGCTGGTTGGTATGCTATGATAAGAAGAAGACTATCGGGTTGTTCACTTGGAAGTGAACTCGTTACTTGTATCAAAGATGTCAAACTAATATGATAAGATTGATAACTAAGTTGAGCACGAAGCTCCTATCTAATGGCAGACGTGCCAGTCTTATATAGAGGACCTTCGTTCTGTCTTGATCACTCTCATCGACTGTCGATGTTGGCGATCATCGCTTTCATCGACAACGATAATGTCGATGAAGCTTATCACGTGATTTCTTCCTGTGAAATCCTTGGATAGAGAATGAGG